CACACACACACAAACACACACACACACACACACACACACACACACTATGCATGCTAGAAACAATGGTTTGTTTGCCAGAGAATGCATGAACTGAAAAAATACCTCTAATGCAATGGAAATCACTTTGGATAAAGCATCTGCCAAACACATGAATGTAAATACGCACTTGCAGTTTGTGCATATTGTTTCAATAGAAAGATTATAGATAAACATGTTGTGTCCAAAATCTTGTTTCTCCATTGATGGCCATTCAAAGGAGCCAGCTGTATTTTAAGAATGTAATTTGAATTTTATCACTTGCGAAAAAGGCAATATGAAAATGTTTATTTTCTATGCAGTCTATATATTTATTTACACTGTGAAATGTCATTATTACAGCAGATGTTTCACCAGTGCTGAGCTTTTATTTGAAGGCCTTCGACAGTGTGAAACTGACTTATTCATATTTCATTTTATATCATCGATTGTGCTGCCATATTTGGAACCAAAACCAACCTGCCTTCGGCGTGCTGCAACCATACTGATTACAACTTTGGTTTCTATTTATAAAGATTGATGCAGTGATACTGCTGTTCACTTTCCTGACCACAGATGACCAGTAGAGGGAGACCTTCTGTGTTCATATATTCAGAAACTGCAGGGCCTACAGCCTTTACATTTCACATCAAACATCTTTGACCACTCAGCTGTCAATATCATTTTCACTTAAATTCAAATATGTTTATCAGGATGATATGTCCATACCAACATTAGTCAATACAGAACATGTTCTCACATAGATTATCAAACACAGGCTTTTTGTGAGACTATATCAAGACAAACAAATTGATATCTAAACTATATTTTTAAATGACATAATGACGTCAGTGAAATATAACTTCATGAGCTCATTTCTGCTGCTCTGAAAATTGCTTTTACTGAAAACAAAAAATGGTGTAGAAACAATTTTTCACTAATAAATTTCTTGTAAATTTCACAAACATTTACAATGAAATGACAAGTAACTCATTGAAACATGAAATTTTGAAGTAGTGGAAAGACTGAAATAGTATTTTCTCGTAAAACGTACTTCAGTAATCTTTGTTTTATTTACTACTTTGACAAATTATTTTTTACAGTGCACATTATTCCTGTGGTTTGGTGCTAAAGACCAATTATTAGTATTTTTATAAAGTTTCTCATGCGTTTCTATGAATTATCCGCTGTTGTTTTTGTCCCGATGGTTATAAATATGTGATCATGACACAAACACATGAATATTTTTCCCTGTTTGCTGCAGTGAGTTCTAAAAAAAGTGTAGAATTTACTTTATAGCAACCTTCACTCAGAAATTGCTAGTAAATTTCACAAACACATTGAATTAAAAATTAATTTTCAAGTGAAAAAAAAACAACCTAAAATAGAATTTTCTCATAAAACATGCTCCAATAATCTTTGTTTTATTTACGGTGTAGAGTGAACAGTCACATGACACATACGCCTCAGGTGATTGCTCAAAAGGTTTATTTATTTTAATTGCCCACATGTTGCATCAGTCCAAAAAGGAAATGTATCAGATGATTAAAACTGTTCTGCTTTTCTGTATAGTGTCATTAAGCGCTCATATATCTGCACTGGCAATGCACTTTATGCAGTCACACACACACACAGACAGCCAGACGGGTCACTTCTCTGAATGCTCTCTGTTTGAGTGTGCAGCGATGTGCCTCTCCTCCGTTTTGAAACGACCGTGTCTTGGCTGAACGCTCATGGCTCATTTAGAAAGCAGAAGTGAAACGCTCCCCTCTTTCCAAATCCCTCACACTCTACAAAAAGCTGTACTTGAACGAGACAACAGAGCGATCTGTCGTCCTGTGATAGAGCGTGTTTTCATACAGACAGACATATGTGGCGGCTGATAGCAGCTCCTGTGGGTGTTCTCCTCCGATGCGTCGCTCTCTCGCTGCAATCTGAGCACACAACGAAGCCCTAAACAAACTACGACTGAAAGGAAGTGATAAACAGTGTTTCCTGTAGCGCTGCCTATGATAACAGCTCTCATGGACGGCGGTGTGAGACAAGGTTCTTCAAATGAAAGGCGTTTTCTTCGGCTGTGGTCAGAGACGCGCTGGAAACAATAAAAACACTCTCCACATTCCTGATGCCAAACATTAATATGTACTGTATATATTGCATTGAAAATGAATGCAAATTCATAATCTGGTTATGATTTTATTGGTAGACTCTTATTTAGTAAATTTTCACCATCATGATAATCATGATACGAAAGTTCTTTAGTACTGTTTTTTAACCACTAGGTACCATAGTATAAAATAACATTACTGAAAAAAAGTTATTAATAATGAATAAATATTTGATAATTTTAAATGTTTAATTTCTGATTCATTTACTGATATATTTATTTATTGATCAATCTATTTTTCAGTGATGATTCATCTCAATACAGTAAATAATAATAATAATTATTAATATAAATTATATTAATAT